GGGAGGGGGGTAGGGGGAGGGGGGCAGGGGTCCGTGGGGGGGGGGGAGGGGGGCTCACGGGGGAGGGGGGACACAGAGGGGAGGGGCGGGGGGACGTGGGGGGGGGTGAATCGATTTTGGGCTGGACTCCAACTGGTGGGTCAGCGAGGTGAACTCTCTCAACATCGTTAGGTAAATGATCAACTACGTCACAAAAACACCACACACACACGAATAAAATAATGGATGGCAGCACGTACGTGGATTCTTGAATGCGTCTGTGCGGAGTTTGGAGCGCTATACCCTCGTCAGTGACGGATTATAGTTTTCTCACGCGAAGCTAAAACGCCTCGACTTACGTTGAATGAAATGGCCAAGCTTGCCAATTGTAGCATGGCCCTCTTTAGAACGGCGTCTTGAGACTCAGCTGCCGTGAGTGTTGTTCATTATCACCGTTATTACTGAGATAATCACAAACACTGCCCTAGTGTTCATGATGAACCCAGGAGGTTAACGTTTTGGGCAGTGGGCCTTTTTTAGAATCCCAAAATGTAGTTTTAATGAAAAAAAATGTGTAATGCTGTTTTATTGACGTGTTCGAAATAAAATAGGAATTGAGACGCCCTGCCACATTAATAACAATAGTAGTATGTTCGTATGTATGCAGAACTTCTTTCACACCGTACGTAGCCAACCACACAGGTGTAGCGATCGGGGTGTAGGCGGATGGTTTCGTTTTGGGCAAGTTTGGACGATGACACCCGCACACACACAGAGACTCGCAGACACACGCACACAAAGACACACACACAGACAAAGACACACACACAGACAAAGACACACACAGAGCCTCGCAGACACACGCACAGAGACAAAGACACACACACAGACACACATGGACAACAACCGCCATTCGCCACTAAGTGACAGTGACGTCACCACGGCGCCTGTACCAGGCCAGGTGCACCTTGAGGCCAGGTGAAGTGTTTTCTCCTGCCGGGCCACGGGACAGGCCCAGGTGCCGTGGGTTGACTGACTGAGAAAGAGTGACAGATACACCACCTGTGCTCACCACCGGGCCAGATACACACGAACACAGACAAAGATTCCATGTATAGCCTTAACAGACTGTTGGGGCAACACCACGCTCGGCCGCCTTTGTCTCCCCAGGGGTGATGTTAACACAGCACACCAGGTACTCATTTGAGGCTCAGTCGACTTAGGGGAGGCCCACGACCATTTCAGATATTCGTCACAGGTGTTGGCTGTGAGCGGGAATCGAACTCGGTTCGCCGGGTTAATATCGCAGGCGCTAACCGCAACACTACCGCTCCCCATACACACGGACACACACACAGATACACACACAGACACACACACAGACAGACATACACACAGACACACACACAGACACACACACAGACACACACACAGACACACACACAGACAGACGCAAAAGATCCCCCGTATAGCCCTAGCGGACTGTCGGGGCCCGTGCTGTTAGTGAGCACCTATGAAGGCCGGCACAGCACACGAGGGGGTGGGTGGCCAACACCACGCCCGGCCGCATTTGTCTCCCTCGTGACGATGTTTACAGATCGCACCAGGTACTCATTTGAGGCTGAGTCGACCTAGGGGAGGCCCGAGACCGGTTCAGATAATCGTCACCGGTGTTGGCCGTGAGCGGGAATCGAACCTGGGTCGCCAGGTTAATAGCGCAGCGCGCTAACCGCTACACTACCGCTCCCCTAAACAAAGACAAAGACAAAGATCCCCCGTATAGCCTGAACAGACTGTAGGGGCAAGTGCTGGTAGCGAGCACCTATGAAGGCCGGAACGGTACACGAGGGGGTGGGTGGCCAGCACCACGCCCGACCGCCTTTGTCTCCCTAGTGGCGATGTTTACACACCGCACCAGGTACTCATTTAAGGCTGAGTCGACCTAGGGGAGGCCCAGGACCGGTTCAGATAATCGTCACTGGTGTTAGCCGTGAGCGGGAATCGAACCCGGGTCGCCAGGTTCATAGCGCAGCGCGCTAACCGCTACACCACCGCTCCCCACTTAACTAAACATACACAGACACACACACACAGACACACACACAGAGACACACACACAGACACACACACAGACACACACAGACACACACACAGACACACACAGACACACACACACACAGACACACACACAGACACACACGCAGACACACACAGACACACACACAGACACACACACACAGACACACACACAAACAGACACACACACACACACACAGACACACACACACAGACACACACACACAGACACACACACAGACGGGGCTCTACAGATGGGTTAACGGACACTCTCCCCGGAGAACGCCCTAACGCCCTCCCCAACTCTCCCTTCTTCCCCACTCTCCCCCTTCTCAGTCTCCCCTCTCTCCAGCATCCCCCCTCTCCTTTCTTTCGCTGACCTCTGTCCATCCTCTCTCTCTCCTCCCCCATCTCCCCTCCTATGCTCACACTCCCTCTCTCTCTCCACCCCCATCTCCCCTCCTATGCTCACACTCCCTCTCTCTCTCCACCCCCATCTCCCCTCCTATGCTCACACTCTCTCTCCTCCTCCTCTCTCCACCCTCGCTTTCTCTCGCATCGCACTCTTCCCCCTCTCGCCCTGCGCTCTCCTCCGTTCATCCTTTCCGCTCTCTCTTCCCTTACCTCTACCCCCCCCTTCTCTCTCTCTTCCCTCTCTCTTCTGTTCCTCCTCTGCACCACCCCCCTCCCTCTCCCCCCCCCCTCTCTCCTGCCCCCCCCCCGACCTCTCCCCCCTCACCCCCTCCGTCTTTGTTGGCTTCGTTGTTTTATTGTCGCTTAATTGAGACTTTAACCCGATTGGACGCGCGCGTGCGCACCCATTCCCCCATAGCAGTTGCATGGGGGGGGGGGGGTAGCGGGGGGGGGTCTCAGGACAATCACCCCCCCACACCCCCCCACCCACCCACTCAGCCAACAACTAACGCACCCCCAACACACACACTCACAGATACACACACACTCACAGATACAGACACACACAAACTCACAGATACAGACACACACACACTCACAGATACACACACACACACTCACAGATACAGACACACACACTCACAGATACAGACACACACTCACAGATACAGACGTCACAGACACACTCACAGATACAGACGTCACAGACACACTCACACTCACAAATACAGACACACACACACTCACATGCATAACACGGCACAATGCATGCGCATCACAGATACACAAGACAAATATCCCCCGTGTAGCCTTAACAGACTGTTGGGGCAAGTGCTGTTAGCGAACACCTATGAAGGCCGGCACGGCACACGGAGGGGTGGGTGGCCAGCACCACAGACACACAACCACACACGCACATACATCATCCAACACACGTCACTCAAACACCCATAACACACATACACCCATGACTCACATACACGCAGACATGCCCATCACAACTACAAAGATCCCCCGTGTAGCCTTAACAGATTGTTAGGGCAAGTGCTGTAACACCAATGAAGGCCGGCACGGACCGGTACGGCACGCGAGGGGGCAGGTGAGTAGCACCACGCCCGGCCGCCTTTGTCTCTCTCGTTCTGATGTTTCGACACTGCACCAGGTACTCATTTTGAGGGCGAGTTGAGCTCGGGGAGGTCCAGGACCGGTTCAGATCTTTATCATCAATGGTGTTGGCCGTGAGCGGCAGTCGACCTCGTGTCACTGGGTTCACTCACACACATCACACGCACATCCATCACACACACACACATCAAACACACATACATCAACAACAACAACAACAACCGCCATTCGCCACTAAGTGGCGGTGACGTCACCACGATGCTTGTGCCAGGCCAAGTGCACCTTGAGGCCACGTGAAGTGTCGAAAGCCCGCTGGCAGGAGGTCACGGGGCAGACCCAGGTGCCACTGGTCGACTGACCGAGATGACCGAGACATACATCACACACACACACACACACCCATCACACACACACATCACACACCCATCACACACACACATCATACACACACCAATCACACACGCACCCATCACACACACACATCACACATACACACATCACACATACACACATCACACACGCACACCCATCACACACGGACCTATCACACACACATCACACACCCATCACACACACACCCATCACACACCCATCGCACACGCACCCATCACACACACGCACACCCATCACACGCACACATCACACACACACACCCATCACACACATCACTCACACACAGTCATATCCACAGCTCCCCCCAGCCCCCCACTCCAACCCTCCCTCCCTTATTCTCCCTCTCTCCCCACTCTCACGAGGAGAGGGAGACGCGGAGCAGAGGAGAGTAAAGACGACGAGAGGAGGGCGGAGTAGAGAGAGAGTGAGCTTCGAGAGAGAGAGAGAGTGGACAGAGAGTAGACACAGAGTGGAGTCGAGAGAGATGGGAGTTGAATAGTTAGCGAGAGAGATCGAGACTCACTCGCGGCTCCCGAGGGATATTTGGGATTGGGGTGGATGGAACACGAGGAGACGGGAACAGACAGAGGGGGTTGTCACGGGGGTGCGCAGCGAGGAAGTGTGTGGAGGAGAGACGTAGGGGGAGGAGGGAAGGGGGCAGAGAGTGGAGAAGGAGCAGAGTGGAGTAGAGAGAAGCTAGAGATGAGGACGAGGAGAGGGCAAGACGGAGGTGAGAGAAGATGAGAGGAGAGAGAGGAGGAGGAGGGTGATAGCGGAGTAGCGAGAGAGGGGAGTGCACAGAGAGTGAGACGGGAGGAGGGAGCAGAGGAGAGAGTGAGTAGAGAGAGAGAGCGCGCGAGGAGGAGGAGGAGGGGAAAGAGGGAGAGGAGGAGGAGAGGGGATCAGTGAGGGGAGGGCAGAGAGCGATCGAGCGAGTGAGTGAGGAGAAGGAGGATGAGATAGCTCGCGTGGAGCGCTGCGCTCCGCCACGCGGACCCTACCCAGCGCCGGGTATGGACATCGCGGGCGGCGCGGCGCGTGACCGGGTGGTGGTGGGGGGGGAGCTTTACCTGCAGCTCGGGGGGCCCGCCGGCCCGCGGGGGGCCTCAGCGGCGTCAGCGGGAGGCGGAGGATCGATCGGAGCGGCGGGCGACTGCGCTCGGCAGTGGAGCGAGTGCGCCGCGTCCCCGGGTCCCTCCTCCTCCTGCTGCCGCGAGCAGAGAGCTCACGGCGGTGGAGGAGTCGGCATCGGAGGGGGCGGCGGCGGCGGAGGAGTCGGAGGCGCCGGGGTGGACGATGACGGCGCCGCGTCGGCCGGCCTCGCGTCCTCTGGCGGGGGCGGCTCGGCCGTCGGGATGGGGTCGGGGGTCGGGGTCGGCTTGCAGGGGGTCGCGCTGCAGGGGCTCGGCTTGGGATTCGGGGTCGGCCTGGCCCCCGGCGCCGTGGAGGAGCTGCTCATGATGGGTTCGCGGCGCGGCGACAGCAGCGGGGACGACGACAGCGACCGCGGCTCGGTGATGGGCGGGCGGACGCGGTGCGGAGGCGACGAAGGTGCGGGCGACGAGGGGCGGGGAGGATGCGGCGACGGGACGTCCGCAGGCGGCAGCGGCGGCGCAGGAGGAGTCGGGGGAGTCGGGGGAGGAGGTGAACTCGGGGGGCTGGGGGACAGAAGCTCCACGGCGGCGGCAGGAGCAGGAGGAGGAGCGGGGAAGCTGCCTTCGAGCCGCAAGAACAAGGAGCAGAGGGCGCTGCGCTTGAGCATTAACGCGCGCGAAAGGAGGCGCATGCACGACCTGAACGACGCGCTGGACGAACTGCGGGCCGTGATCCCGTACGCGCACAGCCCCTCGGTGCGCAAGCTCTCCAAGATCGCCACGCTGCTCCTGGCCAAGAACTACATCCTCATGCAGGCGCAGGCGCTCGAGGAGATGCGTCGCCTCGTCGCCTACCTCAACCAGGGGCAGGCGTTGCCCTCGCTGCCCGCGCTGCCCTCCCTGCCCACGCTGCCGGCCCTGCCCGCGGCCGTTGCGGGGGGGCTGGAGGGGGCACGGGTGTCGCTGTACGAGCAGCCGGCCTATCAGGGGCTCATGGCGATGCACGCGGCGGCTGGGGGAGCAGGGGGAGCAGGAGGAGGTGGTGGTGGTGGTGGGGTGCTAGTGGGGATGCAGAGCGTTTGTCCGGCGGAGAAGGGAGCGACGCAGCTGCACGGAGCGGTTGGCCCGGGAGGAGCAGCAGCAGCAGCAGCAGGAGGTGGAGGTGGTGGAGGTGGCGCGGGAGGAGGAGGAGGTGGAGGATTCCATGGCGGGACCCGAAACGCGCTATGCAAACACTGCGACGAGACCCCGTAGCGCGATGGAGGCCACCGCAGCCTTGCCCCGAAACTTCAGCCTTGCCCTTAACCCCCCATCGCGCAACTCCCGTGGTCTGTCGTTGTTCCCTGCTCTGCAGCCTTGCCCTGTAGCTCTTACCCTGCCCTGTGACCTTTGCTCCGCAGTCTTGAATAATCCCGTGCCCTTCAAACCCAGCCTTGCCATGCAATGTTAACTCGGCGGTCAACTTCGCTCTGCATTGTCACGAAGCCCTACCGAGCCTTGTCCTGCTATGCGGCCTTGCCCCCTGTCCTCCAGCTCAGCAGCCTTTCCCCGTCACTACTTACCTCGCCATTCGCTGCCCCTGCAAGCCCTGCCCGACAGCCTTGCCCTTCCTTGCTCCGTCGGAACCTCTCCAGCTCGAGTTCCACTTAACGGCAACGTGAAGACATTTAACAAGTTGCGCGGATTCTTATGGAAGACTGCATGGGTGGAGGGAATCTGTGGAAGGAGGGACGGACGGACGGATGGATGGATGGAGGGATTAGTGGAGGGAGTAATGGAGTTATGGAGGGAAGGTGCTGGTGATGTGACACGTGTCTTTTGCTTTATTGCTGTTGGTTGTCCTTAATTCCATTCGTGTTGGGGACTGGAAGCCGCGGATTTGATTGGGGAGGCGTTATTTATTTATTCATAATGAACTCAAAGTGTTGCCATCGATGTTGGGCGAGAGGTGGAGGCGATGCGAGCGACTGAACTCGGACGAGAAGATATCGCCCTGGAGCGGAGCAACACAGAGACGAGACAGAGAGAGACAGAGAGAGACACAGAGAGAGACAGAGATAAACAGAGAGAGACAGAGAGACACAGAGAGACATAGAGAGACACAGAGAGAGACAGAGAGACACAGAGAGACACAGAGACGAGACAGAGAGACACAGAGAGACACCGAGAGAAACAGAGAGAGACAGAGAGAGTCTTGTCCAATGTTCACACTCACGTCTTCAATTATATCGCCTTCCTTCAGAGAGCGCGAGGAAGGCGCGATTATCTTTTGCAAAGGAATACAACTATTATTATAATAATATATGTGTACATAGATTTGGATGTGATTATATTTTGAATGCGTTTAATTTATACTGGAGACGTATTTGCGAGATGTGTCCTGGTGTCTGCGCGAGTTCACATTCATAGGCCTCGTGCGACCAAATAAATGAACTGGTCGTTGTTTGTCGAGATTACACACACATATATATGAACAGACGTATTCACACATATATACATGTATACATTGACACGTACAATCGCATACACGCGCAAGCAGACATACACACATACGCATAAACATCAATCTGCACATACACGGTTATGCATGGTCACACACGCATTCGTGTACACAGATTAAGATCCCCCGTATAGCCTTTAACTGATCGATGGGACAAGTGCTGTTATCGAGAAGCAGCGCCTATGAAAGCTGGCACGGCACACGAGGGGGTGGATGGCCAGCACCACGCACCACGTGCAAAGATCCACCTTTGCATACTTTTGGGGCAAGTGCTGTTAGCGAACACTTACACACACACATGCATACTCACATACATGTGCACATACACATGCATGCACACACACACATAGTCGCATGCACAGTAATTTGTGTACACAAGCGCACGTGCGCATTCATATAGATACATACAGAAACACAAAGACAAAGACCCCCCGTATAGCCTTAACAGACTGTTGGGGCAAGTTCTGTTCGCGTGAACCTATAAAGGCCGGCACGGCACACGAGGAAGTGGGTGGCCAGCACCACGCCCAGCCGCCTTTGTCTCTCTAGTGGCGATGCTCACACATCGCGCCAGGTACTCATTTGAGGCGGAGTCGACATAGGGGAGGCCCAGGACCGGTTCAGATAATCGTCACTGGTGTTGGCCGTGAGCGGTAATCGAAATCGGGTCGCCAGGTTCATGGCGTAGCGCGATAACCGCTACAACTACCGCTCCCCACAGAAACACACGTGTATATGCACATACATACCCATGCGGACACACATACACACCTCCATACGCTCATCCATGTACACATCCACACACATATTCATATATACACATGCGTACATACATGCATATTCATGTAGACTTGGATGCACATTCACACATATGTACACGTACATGCACGCCCATGTCCACACAAACGTACGTGCATGCACACACGCAAACACACAAACACATACAAACATACACATGCACACACGCAAACACACAAACACATACAAACATACACATGCACACACACAAACAGATACATCTTTGCACATGTAGACACAACCACGCGTACACCGTCAGACGCACACACGGAGACAAAGATAAAGATCCCCCGTATAGCCTTAACATACCGTTGGGGCAAGTGCTGTATGCAATCAGCTATGAAGGGCGGCACGGCGCACACACGCACACATAACACGCACACGCGCACACGCACATAACAAACACACACGTACACACTCTGAACATTAAATAATGAAAAGCACAAATAATTTCTGGTCTATGTGATGACGGATAGACTTGCACACATCTGAGTCGTTAACGGTCTACAACGCGATACGTAAAAAAGTGTATATATATGTGTGTGTGTTATATATGTGTGTGTGATACCAATTATCACGGGCGAGAGAGCCGTGCCATTGATAATGATGTCTTCCCTGCACCCTCTTTTATAAAGCGTTTCAGCGAAATGTGTTTTGTGTGTGTTGGTGTGAGTACCTTGGGGGGTACTAGGGAGACAAAGGCGGCCGGGCGTGGTGCTGACCACCCATCGCTTCGTGCGCCGTGCCGGCCTTCATCGGTGCAGCAGTCTGTTAACAGCCACATGGAAGAGGAGGGGGTCTTGGTCTCTGTGTGAGTCCCTCGTGCGATGTGTAAACGTCACAACGTGGGAGACAAAGGCGGCCGGGCGTGGTGCCGAGCGGGTGGCCAAGTGCCCGGCCTTCACCAGGCGCTGTCCGTGAACACCACTCGCCCCAACAGTCTGGCAAGGCTCCAGGGGGTCGGGGGATATTGGCCATTGTCTGTTGTCTATGCTCCTGAGCACCTGTGAAGGCCGGCATGGTGACAGCACTTGCCCTGACAGTCTTGACTATATACGGAGGATCTTGTCTAAGTTATGTGTTGGTGTGTACGTGTGTGCTTGGGGAGTTGTAGTGTGCATTTGCGTGTGGTCTTCATAGGTGCTGCTCGCTAACGGTAGTGGGGAGCGATGGTGTAGTGGTTAGCGCACCGCGCTACGAACCCGGCGACCCGAGTTCGAATCCCGCTCACGGCCAATACCAGTGACGATTGTTTGAACCGGTCCTGGCCCTGGGCTTTCTCTAGGTTGACTCAGCCTTATATGAGTACCCGGCACGGTGTACACGAGAGAGACAAAGGGGGCCGGGCGTCGTGTTGGCCACTCACCCCCACGTGAGCCTTTCAGTCCTTCATAAGTACTACTCGCTAACAGCACTTTCCCAAACAGTCTGTTAAGACTACACGGTGTGTCTTTGTTTGTTAAGTGAGTGTAGTCTGCGTGGGAGTGCAGCGATGGGAACCCGCTTAGATCTCGTTTCAAACAAAGTCGAGCGGCTTCTGATCGCGCGAAATCGCATTTACGTGTTCACCGTTGTTATCGGGATATTTAACTTACAAAAAAATTGACACTCGTCATTTAAACTTCACTTTACATTCGCTGACAAATTCTTCCCAAAATTCACCGCGCCCTCCACGCCCCCCCTCGAGCCTCTATGCCCCCCCCAGCGGTATAAGTGACAACACAGCCGATGGGCGGCGGGCCGCGTGGGCTAAAGCGTGGGCAAACGGCGTGGAAGAGTAGGCCAATTACCACTGGAGTGGAGCTCCCTCCAGCGGCGTCATCGCGGCCGCCTGCAGGGCTGCGCCTTTATCTGCAGCCCGCGACTGACGAGAAACGCGGCGACCGCACAATGGAATCCCCGTGGCGCGGCGGTCGATAAAATCGGTACCGCTTTGTGAGCCCTTGCCCTTTTGGATGTGGCTCGACCCCACGCCCCATCTGAGTCTGATTGGTAGCCAACTCCACCCCCCCCCACCTCACGACCTCCCGCCACGCCTCCCCTAGGTCGACTCAGCCTTAAATGTGTACTTGGTGCCGTATATAAACAGAAGTTATCGGGAAAGGCAAATGTCATTGTCTGCTCGCTAAGGGCACTTGCACCGAGAGGATGTGGAGGCTACACAGGGGGTCTTTGTCTTTGTGTGGCGTGATTCAACTCGGAAGGGACCGGACTGATTGGCTATTATCTTCACGGGGCACAGTTTGTATCTCTTCGTTATCTCGAGGGAAGCGGATAATGAAGTGAGCAGCGACTCGAGTCAATTAGCCCGGGCATGGTTCTCACGGCGCCCACACTCTCACAAACACCCACTCGCCATGCACTCACAAAGCACACGTGCACAGACAATAACACTCACGCATACACACACACAAGACAAAGATCCCCTGTATAGCCTTTAGAGATGTTTGGAGAAGGTGTTGTTAAAGAGCAACCTATGGGAACCTCATTTGCCAGTAAAAATATGATAATTGGTTCTTTACCCTTCTATCTGGCAACAAAACTGACACCTTTTTACAAGGAGTCATGTTTGCATAGACCGCAATACCTGCAGTCATAACGCGCCTTTTGGCGTCATCTGGTCCAACCCATATGAGACTAGGCTCGAAGGAAAGCTGTCTCGGGTGTGGACCAATCAACTTTAGGGACAGTGCACATTATCAGAGTTATGTTCTTTTGTTTGTATTATGACTGCAGGTATTGCGGTCTATGCAAACATGACTCCTTGTAAAAAGGTGTCAGTTTTGTTGCCAGATAGAAGGGTAAAGAACCAATTATCAAAGAGCAACCTATGACTGACAGGCGGCACGGCACACGAGGGAGTTGGTGGCCACGACCACACCCGGCCGCCTTTGTCTCCCTCGTGGCGATGTTTACACACAGCACCAGGTACTCGTTTGAGGCTGAGTTCGCTTTAGGGGATGCTCATGACCGTTTCAGATAATCGTCACTGGTGTTGGCCGTGAACGGGATTCAAACTCGGGTGGCCGAGTTAGTAGCGCAGTGCGCTAACCGCTACACTACGTCTCCCCACAATCAATCTTACATTATACAAAGATCCTCCGTATA